CTTTGTGAAAATTTGTAAGAGAAAACAATTTAGAGCAATATATTGTTAAGTACAATTTGTCGCATACAAATTGGCTGAAAGTACTTTGTAAATGCATTGTGTAATGAAGTCGCTTGTTAACATAGCAATATGGAGACGAAAATAGATCACTTTTATTGTGAATACTGTTACTTTACTCCCGGTATTATACATAGGTAGGAAAGGTCAAAATATGTCCGCGTTATCAATCACATTGACTTGATTTTTTATTAAACCAGTAAAATGTTTTGGACCCGAAACCAGACCGTCTAATTGACGCTGACTGACTATTTGTGGTTATTTAGGAATGTTTCTTAAACTATGAACAACCTGGTGTTTGTAGTTCCCTTACGAAGCCAATGATCAACTGACGTTGTATTTCAAATTATGTATGTATGTAAGTCTCAATTTTAAGAATTTGATGTTCGAATACATGAATTGGTAATTATAAAGTACCTTAACGAGGAACTGACTAAATACCGTCTAAGTTTTGTAAGAGAAGAAGAAAATTCAAGGTTTTTAATAAATAATATTTATGAAAAATACTTAAAAACGACTTAAGTAAATACTATATTGGTAATATAATTCGATGATTCAGATCTGCTATTTTATCGCAGGAAACTTCTCTTCATCGCATTATTTCTTAGAAACCACTTCTTATTTGTCAATTCTAAAAGGAAATATGACGCGTGCAGTTCTTGTACGGTACACAGTACAGTATAGTTCATACCGGACGAAGTATCCAAAAACGCGTGCTTGCACAAAGGTCTAATACGATTTTATCTCATGTCACAGAGTTGAACGACCTCCGGAGAATGTGCAATTGTACAAGTATTACAATATTATTGTGATTAATCACTGGAAGAGACTTACGTTCATTTAATACGACACTCTTCAAAACAACCGCAGGTGCATTCTCCGTTAATTGTGAACCATATTCGCTCTATAAACAATTAATAAAGGTATTCGCAGCTTCGTTAGCAGGATTTTAATTAAATTCAGTCTCTGTGTAATTTTGTATGAAATCGAACAATTATTGACGAATTCTATAATAGCATTTACTTATAGTACGTAAATTTAAATTAAAAAAAAAACTTAAACGGTCTAGAGTCTAGACAGTTCCATTGAATGGTCTAAACGAGGAATTAGTTGTCAAAACAAATTTTAGAATGATGGAACGTGCTTTAATCACGAGCTCTTTTTTAAAAAGCTATTTCACCAATGCTAGGATTCCCGTTAACGATCAGTATATATGTTTATCTATACTAATATTATAAAGAGGTAATAAGTTTGTAAGTTTGTATGTAGGGGGCAATCTTTGGAATATCTGGTCGGATTTCCAAAATTCTTTCACTTATTGATAGCTACAATGTTCCCGAGTGCTATAGGTTATAAAACATCACCCTATAATGAAATGGAGCCGAGCAGCGAGTGAAACTGCACGGGAGTACCTAGTTTATAATATAAATAGTACCTATTTCAATAGTTACGAAATTTCAGTGAACTAATAGCGTTGGTAACTGCGCTCAGTGCGCTCTGCCGCTAACACCAATGACAGTGTGCATACAATGTTTAAAAATGCATCGTGCAAATAATAAACAAATTGGGACACCTTTTATGTAACATTTGACGTCATTCATACGGTGACAAATAGATACAATTAGGTTAGCTTTATGACTTTGAAAATTCATTTCTGTTCGTGGGTCGATCTAGCCTTATACGGTCAAAGTCTTGGGATGTTTCCTATACATAAATGAGTGAAGCTTTTCAGTCTTATAGTTAGTGAAGTTCTCGACTTCTCGAAAGAATTTCGAGATTTTATTTGTGCTTGCAAATACTTCTTTACCTTTCATTTAGTCAAACACAAGTTGAGAAGAAATTCCGAAAAAGGTTAACTTTCAAAAGTATAAACTTCTTGCGCATGAGTTTAAAAATATATTCGCGTCAGTTTGACTCTCGGACGTAACTGATGACGTCGTGAAGACGTTGCAATAGATGATCGTGTTAGTTTCGAATCGTCACGATGACTTCATTGTCTTGTTTATAGCGGGGAACATTGCTACCGGTGTAATGCTCCGGCTCACGTGATTGCCTACAAAAATATTTCTAGTAATAGAATAACCGAGAATCGCTATTTGTACGATTTATTTTAAAATTCGAAGTCTAAATTCATCATTTTTAAATTTAGTTTTATTGAAAACGGTAATGTTTTGAAGTAGGATTTTTTAAGATTGTTTTTTATAATATGCTGTCACAAAAATCGGCAGCTTAATAGACAAATATAGGCTATACATGAATATGTTCAGTCGTAAATTAGCTTTAAGGAATTCTACGATTAAACGTTATTTATTTAAATAAATGATACAATAAACAATTTTGGTTTTTATGCAAATTTTGCCAACATTTGTATTTTGTTATTTAAGTAAGTACATATACTGTTCATAATATGTGACATTTAAAATAAAATTTATTTTTGGTATGTCTGTACTAATATTATTAAGCTGTAGAGATGGTTTAAACGCACTAACCTCCGGAACTACTGGTGCGATTGTAACAACTTTTTCTGTGTTTTTTAGTCCATTTACGGAGAAAAACTCTAGGCTATGAAACATCACGCTACGATCAGTAGGAGTCGAGCAGTATGAAACTGCGCGAGAGTAGCTAGTTATTGGATATATCTTAACTGTAACCGCTGGATCACGACTATGTACTGTGTGTATGACAGTGATGACTTCGACAATTTATTCATTATCTAGCAGTCCATCTCTTGTCTCTAAATCGAGGTTGGAGTGCGCAACACACAACATTATGTTTCCATTAAAAATATGCAACTTTGAATAAAAAGTATAATTGTTTATTCCATCATTAGAATGTAACGACATCGAATAAACCCCACATTAGCTGTGTGTTAGGTTTATTTTTCTCTGTAGATACTATTTCCCTTTAAACTACATACTAATTTCAGTGATTAATACTCCATCCTATTTCTTTGACATATGTACTTATATAATTTAAATACACTTTATAACCAAATCATGTTTCAAACGAATTAAACCCTAAAGTTACCCATTTAGAAACGAATAAGACACATATTCAAAAATAATGTAGCACTAAACACTTGAAATTAAAACATTAAAATAACATTTCCAACCGATTGAACATACTCGTAAAATTGATGTTTCCATCGGCCAATATAGGAAAGAGCGTTCGAATTTCACCGTTCATAACGGATGGGTCGAGTGTACCGACCCGGCTGTAAAAGGGTTTCGCCAGTAAAACATTACAGCTAGTACTTACATTTTTATACTGAAGCCTCCAAGGTATCTGTTCAGCCTTTCTCCCTCATTTCTGCAGGTGCTGAAGATATGTAAGGTTTTCTCAGGGCTGCGAAGAAAATACATCGTTCAGTTTGTAATATGTACTTAGGATATAGGTAACATAAAAATATAGAGGACAGGAATTGGTCGAAACTCAAGATTGAATTGTTATAGAGAACAATTCGGACGACGTCCTTCCGATGTCTTAACATGACATATAAGCATCTTTTTTAAGAAGGGAAAACCATTAGATCTCTTCTCTCGCCCAAGGTATAGCGAGAGGGAGTGTCAGACTCTTACTGACTGACTAAAAACCATCTCGTTCTACTAATATTATATGAAAACTTTCTATCTAATTAAACTATGTATTTAATAAAAGATCGGTATCTTTCCGACATAATTTGATTGAATATTTAACTTGACTGCACTATTGGCGCGATGGCTGGGCAACTGGCTGCCGTGCAACGTGTCGCGGGTTCACAGATCCATAAATTGTTGTTCCGGGTCTGGGTGTGATGTACATGTGGAATTGTATGTTTGTAAACGCACCCACGGCACAGGAAAAATTTCTTGTGTAGGGCAACGTTTTCACAAAGAAAAAAAAAACTAAGAAGAAAATTCCTGAAAATTTTATATCTCTTTACCCTTTACCAAGAGTTCCTATATTGCATTGAAAATAAAATCTCTTAGTGTAACTACGTATGCAAAAATATAAATTATGTATTAGGTATGTACTTCGTTAAGTTTCTTTAAGGAAATGAATTTAAGTAATTAGTAAACAAATCATCGTGTTTTGACACCTATAAAGTATTTGGTCCTTTGAAGCCACACACAGGAAATGTGGTTTACATACCACGTTTAATACCTTTGATGATGTCACTGTATTTGTATACATAATATATATAAGTTATATATGATATATTAGTGTATAGAACAACACTATTTACATTTTCTAAACAGATAAAAATGAGCAATGAACTCTAACTGCTAAAAATAGCATCGAAGTGAATCAAGATTATGAAAATTAGCTTTTTATAAATAAATGTTGTATTTGTTATTGTTTTAAGGAAATAAATATACCTATATACTTTTGTAATTATAATAAATGCATCCATTGTTGACAAAGCAAAAGCGAACATGTATAATTCACGTTGTCAGCTAATTAATCATTTATTATTTAGTTTTTGATTAATTACTCTATGACAGCCTAATAACTGCCCGGAAAACTACATTAAAACAAATGCAACAACTTTGAGGAAGCACTGGCAGCAGGATAAACAAAATATTATGCAACAACTGCATGAAATGTATAACTTTCAGATTTTTAAGTTTAATCATCAGGATTATACAAGGCTTCAGGTCCTTCACGAAGTTAATACTTATTTTAGTCAGGTACGTATCAAAATTATCGTACGATTTTAGTTTTGTTTACTAAGCACTTAATTTAGTTTATTACAGTTGTCCATAAACTTCAAATAACAACCTGAAGTTTTCACTGCAGAAATGTTGTCGGCAGCAATTCCATAAAAATCCTCGGTAACAAGAATCCTCGCTAGTAAGTCACTTTCCACTATCTTACACATAAACGGTCACAATCCACTGAAAGATAGATGCACTAGTCTGAAAAACAGAAAGATCACGTCACAAGTTCATACTAGACGTGCCATGCGTACCAGGGTAGCAGATAAACATAGGAGTTGTCGGCTACTCGGAACAATAGCAGCGCGGCGTGGAGCGACGCAAGACGACACAGCAGCGAGCGCGCGGCGCGCCGGCAGAGCGGTGACTGACCGGCACACTGCCGCACCACCCCGCCTGGAGCGCTCCTCCGGGACCCTTCCGCCGGGAATCAGACCCGCAACACACGAGCCAGCGACGCTTTCCTCACGCGACCACACTGCACATGTGTTCGCACCACTCTTTGTGCATCATTGTCTCAACAGGTTTATGCAACATCGTCCGGATCACGCATCAGTTCCGACCTCTCATTTCGTCTCAGTACATTTCGGCATTATGATTAAAATTCACAGCATGTGAACTGCAATCTGAATGTATGAAAGTATGCGGATGGCAAATTATTCTCTTCATCTGTCCGAATCTTACGTGCACCGTGCGGTCGTTGACATCTGAGTTCATTTGTTTTTCTTACACTATACGAGTAGAGAAAATCATTGAGACTGCTATTTATGTTGTTTATCACACGTAAACAAAGTTATCTGCCGGACCTCCCTCGATCTCGTAATCGGACACCTGCTTATGAAAAAATTGCAGCAGCAGACGACGACAAGGATGTATGAAATGCGAAATGCATATAGTGCAGCGTGTCAGGTTTCACCCGTCAATCTAAACAGTGATGCGACTATAACAGCAAGTGTAAGCGGTTCTATAATGGTCTCCAATGGTCTCGGTGGAGAGTGAAAGTGGTCGCGGTCTAGGCGAGCGCACCTCGCGGGGGCAATACAACGGCACGCCCTGCAAGACCTTGAGCGAACTGTACTAACTAAAACATTTGTACTTTTAGCATGGAAAGTCGCAATATTGCGGAATTTTACATAAATTATAGGTACTAGAACACTGGTACGTACTTACCTACCTATACATTGAGGTGAACGAAAACAGACGCCCTTAATTCATTGCTCTCTAGTGTAAGAACTTGGTTTGATAAAGGTAAGGCATATAAAATAACTTATTATTAAATCATACGTGTAGTAAGTAAATATTTTAAGATCAAAAATATTCCTAAGCTTACAAAAGTCCGTATATTTCGTAAATTTTGGATAGAAATACGATGTTTAAAGGAAAAGATATTAAAGTATTTATAAACTTTACCATTTATAAACTGAATTTTGTGATCTGATTATGATTGATATAATCAGCTTTGCACACTTATAGCTAATATGCAACCCTTGACATTGTTATTTAAAACAAATCGAATGATTGGACAGATTATTTTAGAATTCAAATAAATTAATAATTAAAAAAACATGCTTTGAATCACTGGTCTTCTTCACCAGGAGAAATTGACTTATCATGTGAACCCAAGCTCGATATATATTTACGTTTAGGTAACCCGAGGTTCCATTAGCCACATTCGAAGATCAATGTTACCATAGTATATAGTATAGGGTCGTCTAATCTAAATAATTACCAATTTTATGTGAAAAGGAGTTCAGTTCAGATTGTTAGACTTTTAAAAGCGTGTTAAAACTAAACTAAAGGATGTAGAGACATGAAAATCTTAATAAACCAAATTAATCCGTCGTAAATTTTTTTAACTATACGCTTACAACAAAGCTGAATGCTTGATATGTTAGAAGTATCCCCATGTTCGCTGGGTTGCCAGGCAATTACAGCGTATTTCCCTAAATAATATGTATTTGTTGCCATAGAGAATAATCTTCTTATTTCCGCCCCTTTGAACAGTGACTATAAATAGAAATTTTCGCGAAGAACGTTCAATATGTTCTTTACATTTTAGGAATTAATTACCATAAATACATATGCTAAAATACACCTACATAATATGGTGATTGAAACTCTATTACTAGGAATTGAAAACTTTTCAAAATTAAAGGTACCTACAATTAAAATGTTGGCGTTTAACATTTGCTGTATCGCAATTTTATTTGGGTATAACCACTGGGGTAATTTAAAGTTCGTGTACACATTATATAGAATTCCGATTTTTTAATTCCAATATTGAAACAAAATCAACAATTTAAATACATTCTCTTGTTAAAAATTCGTCTTACAAAACAATTTTGAAGTGTCAATGCCACAGAATACAGTAATGTTAGTTAGCCACTCACATAAAACTGAAAAGTCTATAAATAGTCTAGGTGCAGTCTATTGGAGCATTAAGTAGCATCAAATACAAGTAATTACTTTTGTTCAATGGTCCCGTTACACTGCCGCAGTTCGGTATAACTTGCAGTCTCAATTTCCGGACTCAGGGGTCATCAACCGAGTTTCGCCTTAAGTGAATTAAAAAAATATTTTTGCGATCAATTAGCTAATTCATAATATTGCTGACAGTTAATGATGATGTATTTCATGATTGCGAAAACATATTATAAAATGCAATTTTTACTTAATTCCTCTTTTTTATTTTTTCCGTTTGCATATAATTAAAATTAAGAACCGCACAATAATTAAAGTACTAAGGTACCCAGTAAAAATATAAGATAGATTTCCAATGACATTTAGGTTTGGGACGAATCAATATAAATATTATTTAAGTGTGATAGAGCCAAGCTTTGGCACGAATGGGTCGCCTGGGCCGGAGTGATACCACGGCCTCGCAGAAAACCGGCGTGAAACACAGCGTTGTGTTTCGCATTGCGCGTGAGGGTACCTGAAGCCCAACCCGAAAAAAAAATGTGTGTTTTATGTTTTCTCTCATCTCTTCGTCTCATCACCTTGCTTACGATGAAACTCTTACCCAACTCTCCCCTCTACTTTTCTAAAATGTTCTTTCATAAGAACCTTCTCCTGACAATAACACTCATAACAAAAAATAACCAGTAAAATTGGTCCAGGCGTTATTGAGTTATGCGCTAACCAATCTTACGAATCTACTTAATGTGCGAATATTATGGCTGGCTGTATTATATTTTCTGATATCAGGCAGGTCATAAGTCTAGGAACTGAAGATTATAAGGCATTAGAATGAATGATCGTATTTATCATTCATTATTTTCGTACATTGATTCATAAATCGTGCTCTCAGATTTTTAACTGTTGAAATAATTACACTAGTATTGTTTAATGATTGGCTTACATAAACATTCACTTAATTAGTGTTATCAGAGGAGTCGTTAGGGAAGTGCGAAACATAACAATATTTGTTTTTGAAAAGAAAGTTCGTCGACCGTATACCGAAAAAGACGTCAGTGCCTATTTAGAATTTATTTTCCTTAACGTTTTTGTATCGGGGACATGATGATGCCTTGATTTTTATTCAATGAGAAGTCTACATGTCTCGTCTTTTACGGTAAAAGGCACGCGTTGAATCCCAAGGCCCTATATGTTATTAGTTAGGCACGTTTTTTATGCTTACATTAACTATTCTAGATTTTGAATGTGTGCTATTTAGTATGCTTGCCTGCTTTAGCGTATTCAGAGTCTAGTAACAGCCTAAAATTACAAATAAGTTTGTGAAATTTTTCAGATTTTTAGTAATATAATTCTGCGAAAAGTTAAATTTCTCCTTAAATTATGACTTAGATGAACTTACCTACTACATTTACTTTCTGTACATCATCAGTCCATTAGTCTCCACTGTTAAGCGAAGGCCTCTTCTCACACGGATAAGGAGAGTATTACTCACCACGCTTGCTCATGCTGCTCAAGTCATTTCATCGGCGATTTCGAAGTTATAATCAGAATTATAGGTTCACATGGTAGATCAGTGGTTTCCAAAAGCACATATAGGAACATATAGATCACTTAGAAAAGTCACATGTGTGTTTTCCGGGATTGGAAGCCCATAACCGTTGGGCCATCACAAAATCCTTAAGTGAATTTCAAATATATCTATTATATTCGAACTCTAAGACTTTTTGTTTTACGTAACGCAACAAAATAGTTGACGTAACGCAACAAAATAGTTGAGATCAAAATTAAATAGTTGGATAGATCAAGTAATTGCGTTTGAAGGTTGTTAGATAGTGTCTAATCATGTAATCACTAATCGCATTCTTACATTAATGAGTCACAAAAGATCCGAAGAATGTCAAATTACCAGTCCGTGCCAGAAATTCTGTGTCTTGTCTTGAGAAATCGACAATTTAAAATTAAGTTTTCTAGGACAAATGAAAGAGTGTTTACCGTCAAAATAAGAAAGAGAAAACGATAATATATTTTATTGTCAAAGAAAAACAATTGAAAACTTAGTCCAAATACAATTTTATATTTTTTTTACATTTTATAGGGTTCCTTGGATCTAAATGTTTTGCAACTCTTAAGTTTCTTAGACCATTAGGAACGGATACCACATTAATAATATACATATGTCTCTTTCTGACGTATAGTCTCCCAATCGGCTTCTGACACCCGCGAGAAGATTAAGAGTGGTGGCAGATGCATTTTACTCTACTGTCATCACAAACCTTATTGTTTTACGTAAGTATGCATGATATGGATTAATCATCAGTTTCATTACGTTTCGCTAAGACGAAATAAGTAACTGAAAATTTAATTTTACCTTACTGTTAACATCACTTAAGCTCCAAATCCCTAAATCTCTAAGACAATGCACTTGCAAATCCTCTTGTGTTGCAAGTGCCCATCGGCGGCGATTACCCTTATCACTTAAAAAAAATGACACTAAGATCGATCCATAAACAAAAAAGGGAAGTAATTTTCCTTCTTTGGTAAATATAGGATTTTCTTTTTTAAAAGTACTTAATTTAAATGATGATTAAATAGAATATTTGAAAAAAAATCCTTTTTTTAAATACGGTTTTATTTCCCGCATTTTAATCTCATTGACGTAGGTTTCTTAGATAGAACAGTATAAACAGAAAACAGTATATATTTACATGTATCAATAATTCAATATCTTCTCATACATATTACAAAAGGTAAATTGTACTAAAAATATTGATCAACATTTTTTGTACGGCAACAGGTCAATACCATATTTTCCTTATTCTTTTGTAATATGTCGTCAAGAATGAATTTTCATGTAGAACCAACAGTTCGTATTTTTATTATAATACAAAGAAATAAAAAAATATTTATTGTATAACTAACTACAAGATTATATACATGTAGTGGCAAATGATATCTTTCTGAAATATTTTTTAAAGACAAGGCAATTAAAATTGAACCCGCTTGATATGAAACTAACGAACGTCCGAAGCGCCATCGACGAAATTTTATTTCTACATTTAATTTTTATTACTATAAATGTTATCAAAGTTCACGAGTAGTTGTGTTTGTGTGTGTATTAGCGTCTGTGTGCGTATTTGTTATGTCGGGGTCTGCGTACAGTACGCAGGAGCGATTACGCAAACCGCGCTTCCCCGAGGAGTGAGGTCGTTGGCAATGGACTCGGTTCAATGTCACCAAATATATCACCGAGTTGTGAACCGCGCGCAACCTCTCGTGATACTTGTAGGGAAATACGGTACTTTGCGTGGAGGCGTGTCTTACTTGTTTGCTTTTTTGTTATATTAAACGTAATTATATAAATGGTACCGTAATGAAAATTGCTGCAATAATATCAGTATGTTATCCAAGTTTGGATTTGGTTTTGTAACCATATTTCTTATTCGATTTCCACTACTATGGCCGAAGTATGATTATATTAAGTTATGCTTTACTATCAACACTAACTGGTTGATTACGAAAAAAAAGAACTATTCATAAAATAACACAGTTACTTGGAAAGATACTACTTTGCCATAGATAACAATTAACAGCAGTTTGGAAACAAACATAAATATAAAATGTTTTGTAGCTAAATTAAAAATGTTTTAAATTATTTGATTTTCATTCAACGACTACGTCACTGTTGCTTTAGACAAAGTATCAATAGTAGTTGCGCGCGCTCTACGGCCGGGCTCCTGACCGGGTCGACGACCGCACTTTTCGGCAGGCGCCCCAAGTTTCAGCTGTAACGCGATCCTGACGCACACATGCGCAGCTCAGCCGTGCGACAACACGCACTCACGCACACACGCTCGCTGCGATACTACCGCCGGAAAACCATTGTCGAAATGTCACCATTTTCTGATAAAAGCATACCAATCAGGCCAACAGGAATTCATGCAGTTGTGAAGAAAGAGGAAACATGAATAATGATTTTTGTATGTTGACAAATATGCCTTGTTTTGTAGGCATACTTCGCCGAAACCGAAAAAGTAATTCTATCCAGAATCCCAACAGACAAAAGTAAGTTCAACGCTTGTTGAGAGAATAGATTTTGTTTGTGAAGTTTGTGGCGAATTTGTTTCAGCCCTGACCTCCGTGACCTTTGAACTTGGAGGAGTTAACGTACCCTTGACTCGAGCGGAGTTTCCTCTATAATTAGACGTTGATAAAGCCGATATTTTCGTTCATTCGCTGTCAGCCGACGAACTATTATAAACGTGTGTGTCATTCGGCAGCTCGACAATGACGCACTTCCGAGGAAACAACGCTTTCGTATCTAGGTAAACGCACCGGGAAATCTCGCCGCGTGACTTTGAAAACTGTGTGGCCTTAGTTCGCTCTATTAAAAACTTCGAATGGAACTTTTTGTAAACATGTCCAAATTCTATCGAGTTCCACACTCATAGATACGCGTGGTATGGTAAAAATAAAATGTCTCCTCAAAGCATTAAGAGGTTGTTCACCCAATATTTGGGCATCGCCCTCCTCCCTTCAGGGACTATTTGTCAAAGGATACAGTCTCGTCTTGTCGTCGTGGTTTTACTTTCTCATTTTACGTGTTAGATACTCGTAAGTTGGATTGATAGATGTCACCTGTCCCGAGACACGATAACTCTACTGTCTATAAAACAATTATTGTGTCGTTTTTTCAACATTGCTTCATGTTAACTTCTTGTAGTAAAGAAATGGAACATGATTTAGAATATTTTTTACAAGTCGCCTCAGATCGCGATAATAATCTGTTGGAATTCATTTATTTATCAAGTTGGCGTGCACGCATTTGTACTACTCGTACTTGCATAGGAAATGTAGATAGTTGCTCACATTGAAACAACTAAAATAATTTTACTGAAATTTATCTATTGCGAAAGGAATTTAATTTTGAATAAAAAAAGTGTGAAAATCTTGCAGTTTTGGTATAAAGTTTGATTCGCATTAATAAACCACGTGCTTTTATCCTAACCTTTTAATAAATTGATTTTTTTATATTTTTACATTGCTTGTTTATTTTATAACATGGCTTAGTTATCGGATTATAATTGTATAATCTTGTTTAAGTTTAGCCAAAGCTTCGTCTTATAATAGTTTATGAATTACAGAATATTAGTACTAAACTTTATACTAAACTACGTTGACAATCACGTCCCTCAAATTTACACAATAATAAACAATCTTACAACTAAATATACATTTCGATGCACTTTCCGATAATGTGGCTTAACCGCTACATAAGCGTTGCATAATAATGTGCAGCTCACAGTAGTACACAGCACAGACGCAGGCGCAGCCGCGCACACCGCCATATCACACGTGGATGCACACAAACATACAAGATAAGAGCTCGGTCAATGAACCCGCATAAGAAATAGCGCCTGAAATTAGTATTAATCTTGCAAGGCAGCATCTTTAAGGTATAAAAATAAACAATATGACTTTCTTGTTCGCGGATAAACGATACAAGTTAAAAGGCATTTAACATCGATGGAAATCGAGGTATCAGAGATCTCAGCCAATAAGCAATCAACGTAAAATGGCAAAATGCGATGTAGACAATAGCTAGTTATTGTTTAGAACAGCGGGCTAGGCAGCGTGAGGCGGAACGAGCTGTGATCTTGAATGGAGTGAAAGTGGCTTCGGATACTTCCTGACACGTGGAAAGTGAACGCTCATGAGCCCAGACACGGCATGATGCAGCCCTACCTAGCACCTAGCTTACAGAAAAACATCTGTCGTGCAAGGGAAATGTAACTATTTTAAGATACATTTCACTGTTAAGACATAGACCCACTATAATTCCTTTTTATATTTTGTAATTGTGTGTTTAGATCAATTTTTTATTTGGACTTTGTGCCGTATTCAGATTAATCCTCTTAGAAAACAAAAGAAACCGGTATTAACTTAAAATGCAACGCAAGGTTGCGTAAGATAAAAATCAGCAAACGACAATGTGAAAACTTAGAATGTCTGTACCTTTGGAGAAAGGGAACGAGTGGGAAAACCTAACACTTACTAAGCCTTGGCGAAACGCAATGCAATCGGCAAAAGTAAGCAACCACGTGGCTTTAATCGGATGTTAATACTCTCAAATCAGGTCTACAAGATTTCGCCATCGCACCTAGCTCTACTTATAATATTTTGTGTTAATATACGAGTATATGCTTGAGCTCGAAAGAAAAATAACTCTAAGTTTTTAAGATGGCTGCCATGATTATTCCCAAAACCAATTATTGCAAGAAAATGTTGATGGTGACAAATGTTAATTGAAAATAAAAAGTTCAGGTCATTTTTGAAATATATTTATTTAATTTCAAATCAAATCTTTTAAGTAGGTACATTGGATATTATTTCACTCTTAAAAAACAGACGTCTATTTAAATGATAGAACAGAAGTAACACCCGCAATGTCGATTAGAATCCAAGTCAATGTACACGGACTATAATTTAATCAGTGAATCACATTATATCAAAGAATGTGAATTCTTTCAAAGCTCGCTGTGTCATCGTCACGAGCATACGTGAATCATATCATATCATACATTAGTTAATATCGGTTCACACACGTTATAGAAATAAAAGTGTGAAAATCGTTTTTATAATAGTGTTTATACTCTTATATTCTATTAGTTCATTAACCTAGAATCTTATTATATTCATATTATATAAAAGTGCTCTTCCCGACGTTGAAGCCTGTTATAGCAATAAATTAATATTTTTAGGTTTAATATTTAAATATTTTTTTAAAGGAGATAAATAACATGCTATATACATGAGTACCATTTCAGCAAGTGCACATTCTGAGTGACGAAAGCATTGCATTTTTGACCAAACAGCAGCGCTCTCTGATCTTGAAACTGTCATCCATGAAACCTTTCAAACTGTCATCTCCCACCTGCCAAGCGTAAAGGTGGTGACAAACCCCTATTATGTAGTGGAGAACCATTAGTCCAGATTCCATATAGAGGATTTGGTTTCCTATTTGTGCTGTTTTAACATTCAATTGGGTATACCTTAGAAACGAAAACGAGGGCAATTTTTTTAACAGCTTTGTTGTTCAATGCGGCTGGATACTAGTAATCGATCTCCCATACAATGCAGTGACGTTGACCACAAATGAAACTTCATTCACTACCGGTGTTTACGCCACTGTCTCGAGCGGTCAATCGATTTTACATGTTGAGGCGACGCTGTAAAGTCTCACTTGATTGATGGTTTCCGGAACAATGTATGGGGCTTAAATATTGAGATAGATTCGCCAGTGCCTATGAATGAGGTGAGGAATTATTCAGGTGATGGATGAGCTGGGCCGTTCACCTCAGGGTGCGGGTCTTCGACCGGCCGAGTTTCGCACAGCTGATCGGGCCATGCTCGCTACTAGCGTCATTCGCCCTCGGCTCCCTATGAACATGCTTATTTGTTTATATAAATATTTAGACTCATTGCCTTCTGAAATACCGTTACCCAGATCATTTCCAATTGAGATGAGTTTTTAACGTTAATACATACAGTTTGTCATTCCTATTGCGTTAAAATTTATTTCGGGGTATTTTATGACGGACTTGAAGACTACTCGACAACAGATGGCAGTATAATAAATAAATTAACGCCTATAGCAATTCAGTTTATTGTTTGTTTTTTACTGTATTATTATATTTTTAAAAGCTTATTACGTATCTAAAGTGCAATGTCATATGACTATATGATAATAGGAGTCGTTAGGAGTATATGAGCATATGAGTAGTACCTATTTGTGTACATATAAATATGATCTGTGAGCAATACCTTCATACTGGCAAACAAAAACACGCAGGATATTTACTGTGAAAAACAAATTGGAAATTTGCTATATAGTTGTCACTTAAAATATCTTAAGACTACTGGATTTTTTTCTAAATTGCAGTTAAATTCAGTTTTATTAATAAAAATATACGTCGTTGTCCGTATTGCTATCCCTGTTGAATTGGTGAATAATTGTCTGTGTAATTGTAATTAAAATGGTTGAAAGCAAATATGGCCCAGAAACCACGCACGATGAGAAGGTTCGGCGTCGCCTGCAGGTCGTGTATGCGCGACAAACTCGTGAGAAACAAATTTTCATGGAAGAGTTGAAGGAATATCGGAGACGCAAAGATAAACAAAGGCTGCAGAGCATTATAGTTGCTATTGGGCCCAGATGGTATCAAGCGCTAAGTGTGCCGCAGAGAAAAGCTTTGGACTCTTTAAAAGATTCAATTTATCAAGATATATTGGAAGGACGTCCCGAACGGTCGTCTGTTGTGATGCATAAGCTCGGATTGTTTCCTCGTCCAAGCACTGCAGAACTAATGAGTTGTCTTTATGCGGGTCGTAATGACCCAAAAGAAATGTTGGCGCAATTATATCTGTCAACTTACGGTTATCCTATTGAGGGAAAACGTACTTCGTACTGTTTGAACGCAAGACTTATGTTGTCCGCCATATTTTACTTGGGGTTGAATAACTTGTTAGTGTTACTTCGGAAAACATTTGCTCCGGATGAAACTATATCGGAACCTCCACCTAAACCAAAACCGAAGGCAAAGCCTCCGCTTCCATCTCCATACCTATCAAAGATGGTTGCAAAGTTATATGTGCCGCCCCAAATCCGCCGTAAACCACCTTTGCCTTTGCCAGATTTAAGTGAACTCAATGAGCCGTTTGAAGAAGAGCCGATTATGCAAAAACCTCCTCCACCGCCACCTCCCCCACCACCACCGAAAAAAAGATTACCAAAGGCTTACTGCGATCAACTAGCAGGGATCGTTGACATTACAACCAACGCTTCCGACGCCATGAATTTGGCTAATCAACCAAAAAAGCCAACGCGAAATGCAGCGCGTAAATTGAAGAACTCGAAAACAAGTCTGGTAGACACTAATAGTAAATTGAAATCATTTACTTTACAAAATACTAATCAGACTCAAAAGAAAAAGTTGCGCCGAAAAAAATTAGTGCCTCCAACGACTGGCTTGCACAATGTGCAATATATGATAAATGGGGTATATCAACTTCATGGTAAGACATGCTATGTTCTAGGCAGTGTTACACTCTTGCCTGCAGAGGGTGAATTCATCCACGGAGGTTACACCGCTGTTAATGGACAATATATCACATTACATTGTGGTTTTCGTGGATGGCCGCCGGCGAGAAAAACTATCCCCTGTGATTGTTTAAAGAAGTGGCATGACACAGTCTTTCAATATGTCAAAGATCACAAATGCCACTGCGGTCATTACTACGATTATGGAAATGAAGGTGCCTTCCCTCCAGATCAACTCACTTATTTTGATAAACCTACACGCCATGCTCCATTCCGATTTAACTACGAAAGAATATACGATTTAGATCCAAAACGATTATATATAGAAAAGGAGTTTAATAAAGTTTGGGAAACAGATAGTATGTTAAATGTGAACGATGGAACGGCTCCTGCAATAATTGATAAAAAGAAAAAAAAGAAAAAATCTCCCGACAATGTTTCCAAAAAGCCTACAGAAACAGACAATACATTAACCGACGAGAAAAAGCAAGCACCCGGTGATGATGAAGATAAACTTAATAGAAAGATTAAAATATCTACAACAGATACAGTCCAAAAGACGATTTCGATAGCAGAAGATGTCAAAAAAACGAGAATAGTGGGTACAGTTGATGGAAGGAGAGAGTCCAAGATGGATCCAGAAACTCTAAAAAAATTCAGAAAATCTGCAAGAAAAGCTTCAAAGAAAACTTTGGCTTCAGACGGCGGCACTAGTAAAAGAAGCAAATCGGCTAATTGGAAAGCATCGAATACTTGTTTAGGATTAAATCCAAAGCCTCAGGACTACCTGAAATGCGCATTACGACAAATGCGGAAAATGAATGTCGCGGCGCGTCTGCCTGATTTGCATTTAGTGCCTGAACTTAAGGAATGGATGAGACGAAGACTCTACGGGAGTCTTACAGTGCAAGAAAAGAAGGAATACCTACGTAAGAGTACCACGTATTGGCGAATGTTCACAACGCTAGCAGAAAAAGGGTTTGGCCATGTAGCAACACCTAAAGAACCCATGTACCTGGGCCATACTACTTGGTACCATAAACAAAATCTAAATGATAATTTTAGACACTACACACAAAGGTACAAATTATCGATGTTCAGATCCCATGCTTACGTCACTAACTTACTATGGAGAACGATGTATCAAGCGGAATTTCCCGACAAGAATTTTCGAGAAATATATTTTTCATATTTGTTTAGTAGAATAGAAGATCTACAACTGATACACCCTTACTGTTCAAGGGAGTCAGAAGAAAGAAAATTACTAATGGCGAAAAAGCGATATATTTGTTTACCAGCCGGGTACGAACCGAAACAGATGTGATTGTATTTTGTCCTGTGTAATGTCCAATTGTCCTGTTAATCAATAAATTGAGCTGTTTGAGATGTTTTTCGTTTTTTTTTTTTATGATCAGGGTGTGGTTTGTATCTTTATTAGCCCGGTCACGCTTGCAACTAAGTACTCTGTTGATGCGTGTGCCCATGGCCGGCGCGGATTACTTACCATTAGAATTTGTCAGTCCATTTGCTTGCGTATCAAATAAAAAAAACATTGTACGGTGAAAAATTGGAGTTCGATATAATGAAACCACAGAGTACGTAATTCATAATTTAATGTGATAATTTATATACCAGTGTAGGTATATTTATTTCAAGTTATGGCTTAAATTACATTTTCGCTGTAACTAGTAATGTTGCACAATACATTATAAGTCGTGGTTTGAAACTTACTTTTACATCTTGATACAGACTTACAATAAGTATTAAGTTGTTTAACATTTTACAAATCCCATAATAGTTATAATACTCCAAAGGTATTAAAAATAAATTTTGATTTCATACCACATTAAACTTATCGTATCTCTTAAGAATATTATGATACAAGTCTTATATTATAATTATAAAATCTATAACTTTTTATTTAAAATACAACACTAAGGCTTGATTGCAGCGGGGTCGATGGGACCGCTGCAACCAGTCTAAGGGATATTCAATCGTCTTTGGTATCATTGTTACAGAAATCAAACATGTCGACACATGGAGCGAACGTTACATCGAATTTATGAAAATACTGATATTTATAGAAAATTAATGTCATTTAAAGCATATTTCAATAAAACTAAAGAAACAATGTAACAAAAATGTTAAATGGCAAAACAATTATTGCGATACACGAGTTACAAAACAATACTAACCATTATGTTATAACAAATATTTACTCCGCAATGAGTTTATTCATATTGCAACTAATGAAGATATACAACGACGAACACTTCCTAATAATATAGATAAACTGCGTGCAGAACTTGTTAATTGTGCCTTTATCTGTGTGAAACTTTAAAACAAGCAAAGTAGACATTCGTTACACGACACTACCAACGGACCGTTGAACCATTTTGTGCGCTAAATATGAGAATGAGAATATTTATTATAATTTATTTGAAAAATAGTACAATCAGAACGCACATACAAAACATTCATACTGTATTTCACAAAATATTTTGCACTTATTTTTACAACTGCTAAAGAAGCCAAAACATGCATTCCATCATAGCATTGAGAAACTGAATTTTCGAACAAAGTGATGTTCATGGGTTAAAACCATATGCACCAACATCGTATGCAATTAGTCGTCCAATAAAAACAGAGATCAAATTAACAGCATAAATTAGAAACATTATTTTTGATGTGGTACTGTTGTGAGATTGAGGCTAACAAATTGCTACGGTACAGACATAGATATAGGTGGATCCAAATTTTAAATAATATCATTGTTAATACCAGCACTTCTTAGGATAAATCTTATACCTAATTATTATCAAGGTGTTATTAATCATCTCAATACAATCTCATTTCAAATGAATAGATGAAAAATTAAATTATTATGTATATATGTGAAAGATTATAGATGTTTCTTTCACTCAGTCAGCAGGTACAAAATGTTGGTAAAGTTTCTCCTCGAGTGGAGTCGCGGTATCTACCTGTATCTATATCTGTGGGTAATTTATATTTGCAGCTCTTGGTGCGTGTGCTGTGCGTGGGGTGCGGCGGCGGCGTGCGGCGCGTGGGCCGCGTGGGCCGCGTGGCCTGCGTGTGCTGCGTGCCCCGCGTGCGCCGCGTGGGCCGTGTGGCCCGTGTGGGGCGCGCGCTGCTGCAGGTGCACGAGTGCGGACAGCAGACGCGTGTTGGCCTCGTCGAGCGCCGCGATGCGATGTTCCTGCGCCTCGATCACCCGCTGCTTGTGTGACAGCGCCGCGGCCATCTTGCGTTGTTCTCGTCTCAGCTCTTCCTCCACGCATATCAACCTGGAAATCAAACACGAGTAAGTTTTAGTTGGTATTATACAGTTATACATATAATTTAGTCTCTGGTTTGTTAACTTAATGTCTGTATATTAACAGTGTTTTAAATATACCTTGAAATGATGGCCTTCATTTTTGCGTCCGTATGATCTTGCCCCGGTTCGGCTGGTCCTAGCCTCCCGCGAAGAAGTTCCACAGAACATTTTAACCTTTCGATTTCACGTTCGTACTGTAAAAACAACAAAAATGTTTATCAAACTATTCCGTTTCATATCGAAAAAACAAATTTAATCCTTGGCTAGTTATGAATTTCAAGCGAGAAAGCTGTTCATGTTGTTCACCTGTTCGATGGTCCTCTGATGCTTAGAAGCTCGTCGTCGACCTGTAGTACTATAGAGCGTATCCTCCATCTCGTCAGAGCTGTCGGTGAGGTCTCGCGCGGAGTCCAGACTGAGCCTCCTGTGCAGTTTGTCCGCGGGTGCGCGCTCGCTGGCCTCACTCGACTGGGACTCGCGCCCGAACACCACTCTCGATGGAGACTCTCGTCTTTCACCTCGAACCCCGTAGTATTCTTGGTGCCTTTCTAAATCTTCGTTCAGTCGGCTACTCGACATTTTTGCACCAGAATAGGTCCGATCCAGCGGATAGTTTGTCTCTGGTATTGCACTTTCAGTCATCGAGTACTTTTCTGGTGAGTTTTTCGAGTTTTCCATGTTGTACAGTGCCTTCTGACTGCGTGAAATCTGTAACCTGTACATTTCCTTATTGACTTCCTCTACGTTCGAGTCGGACCTGCTCATGGGGTAGCCGGAATCGGTTGAGATGTGGTGAGGCTTGCTTTCGTACAGCGATTCTCCTCTTTGTCCAAAGTGTTTGAAGTTTACTGGATTTTGGTTTGTGGAGTAAGAGAGCATAGGATTTGTTCTGGGCATTCGCGTCTTACTACTTTTCCGTAGACTAGGCGAATTGCTAGACGATTCATCGTCTCGTATCCTCGGGGAGTGACTATGATTGCTCCTCTGGTACATATCTTCATAATTACAGTTATCTCTGGTGAGTTTTCGGTGGGAATTGTTGCGATTCTGTTGGTCAAAGTTTCTACTATCGTCGTTGAAGTTAGTAGAACCCTCTTCAGAGTTTGTCTCGACGTTGTCTGTGCTCAAACCCTCCTCATCTATCGATGAACTGGATGAGCCACAAGGACAACGTTTTGAATTTCTGTTTTCATTGTTCTTCTTTTCTTGCGCCTGACGATTGTCATCCATGTTGTACACTGGATTCGTAAACACTAGCGGAGCTACCTTTGGATTTGTGTTAGTGTTTGATGGTGTATTATCCGCAGTTGTGAAGTTTTGGATTCCATACTTTTGAATATCGTAGTCAATTTTTTGTTGCACTGGGCTCTTTGGATAGAACTTTTCGTTTTTACTGTCATAATACTGTTTATCTCTTTGCTTCTGGTAATTGATTTGCGAGTATCGGCTCATTGGTTGCCCACCATTCTCGTACGGCTGATGATGGTGTGTGGTGTTCTCAATGGGACTTGAACTTTGACTGTATGTAGCAATACTTTGGTAACCGGAACTCGCTACATTAGATAAGCCACTAATAGAAACGTTGGAGCCATTGTTTGTATAGTTAGTTTTATTTCCATTCACAATGTTGTTGTTATTTGAAATAGATTGAGACAAGTTCTTTTTGTTCATAATGAGTTTGTCTTCAACTATTTCAGAGTCATCAGCGTATTTCAAAAGGTCGGAGAGTTCCTCTAGTGTAGCCGTTTCTTTCATGATGTTCTGCATATCATTGGAGCAGTAATTGTGGTTGATGCTGTCGCTGCTCGGTGACCTTTCTGTGCTATTATAGTTAGAATTGTGAAAGTGAGCTTGTTGGTTGTTATAGTTATTGTTGGGCTTGTACCGGTCCTGGAACCTGCGCTCTAAGCTTTCACTGACACCATTACTGATGCCTTTAGGATACTGGTCGGAACCAAAACCAATTTGCACAACTTTCAGATTGACACAGTGTTCTTGATTGTTGTATTGCGAGCTGTATCTGTCTGGGTTGACAGCTTGGCTAGCAGGACTTGAGCCGTAGCCATTCCTGGGTAGTGTAGCTGACCGTAAGTTGAAACTTGGCGACTTTGTGACAGCTGCATATCCAGGCTTGTACTTTGACTCCTCAGCGTTCGATTTGGATGGACTGATGTTGAATTGAACACCGTTTTTGTTCATGATGGGTGAACTGTGAGCAAAGTTGTTGATCTGTCCGTTGGTTGTTGGCTCGATTGGCTGTTTCGTTGGCGTATTACATGTAGGGTCGTTGAACCTACAAAGAAATAATTATTATGAAAATTAAGTGTTGGTCGTAAAAATGGCAAATAAATGTGATTAAATTTTATTGAAGCGTACCTGAAGATGTTATCGGCAGCAGGAGGTGTAGGAGAGCTAATGTCGTTGCTTACTAGCCGCTTGCTTAGTTCATCTAAAATGTCTGATAACGGGTCCAACTCCTGTGGGGTTAATATTAAGTAAGTAAACACCTTTTTATTCCTCAGGTTCACAAAATCACAGAAAATAATTGTAGTCACGTACCTGTATTTTATTAGCAGGCAGTTTGGGCAAGCTGTCAACAAGCAACGCATGTAGCGTGGCAAGTTGTTTGCCCAAGTCCACGTGTGGAGCCCACTCGGGGTCGGGCTCCACGCTGTCGCGGGGTCCCTCGGACCCGGAGTTGGAGCCCTGCGAGGCGGCTGAGTTACGCTTACTACCGTCCTGTTGTTGTTGTTGTTGCTGCTGCTGTTGCTGTTGTTGAGACTGTTGCTCTTGAGGACGAGTCTGTCGATTGTAAGGGGGATATTTAGACATTTTGCCCCAACACCATAGATATGGATATTTTTTTGTGTTAAACGACATTGTTCATGTCATACTATGGATAAACTAAACCATTTTCAGAACATGTTCACATATTTATAGTTGAGCCTAAGTTGTTATCTTAAGACGTGACTGTTTAGGGACTGGTG